AAGATTATCAGTTCCACATGTAGTCACTGTAAAATTATTATCGAGATAGTTTACATTCTTTTTGTTGTTTTAAGTCTTAGGAATATGGAGTGTATTTTATACTTGCAGCACATTTCCAATGGCTAGAGGCTGTGGTACCGGACTGTGCTTCAGGGGCTCGCTAGTTAATTTTTAAATTTCAAAAGTGTTCCAGTTATCTGTGTGAATGAATCACCCCCAAATGTAGTAGCTAAAACACCGATGGTTTATCACTGGTCTCACTCACCCAGCTTGTACACGCAAGGTTGATGATTATTGCCTTACCAGTTATTACCATGATAGATGTGAAGTTCTGATTCCATGGTTCCTTCCACAATTATTAGTTGGAATTTTAAGTTGGAGAAAACTTTTCTTCTTCTTCAGTTAACTGCTTAATGATATAGCAGCCCAAACTTACAGACTTTTCCTTTACTCAGTAGGCTATCTGAATCCACAGTTTATGTACATGTTCCAGGTGTCTCACCAATATATTGGTGAGACTTGAATAATCAGTAAATTAAAGACTTCATTTTTTTTTTGCAAATTTCCCATATTACTCCTGCCCCCATGCATACACAGCCTCCCCCATTATCCATGACATCACTCACCCGAATGGTCCACTTTTCTTTTTTTGGCCAAGGATGAACCTACACTGACACATCACAATTAACCAAAGCCCAAAGCTTACCTGAGGGCTCTCTGTTGGGGTCCTACATTCTACGGGTTTTGACAAATATAAAATAATATGTGTCCATCATTATAATATCATGCAGAGCATCTTCACTTACCTAAAAATCCTCTGTGCTCTGCCTGTTAATCTCTCCCCATGACCCTCCAGCAACCACTTGTCTTTCTATTGTCTCCATAGCTTTGCCTTTTCTAGAACGTCATTTAGTTGGAATCCCTAGCACGTAGCTTTTTCAGATTAGCTTTTTTTCACCGAGTAATATGTACTTAGAGTTCCTCATGTCTTGTTATTAGTGTTGAACAATATTCCATTGTCTAGATGTACCAGAGTTATTTATCCGTTTACCTACTAAAGGAAATCTTTGTTACTTGCCAGTTTTGACAGTTATGAATAAATCTGTTGTAAATGTGTGTGCAGATTTTTATGTGGACATAGGTCTTCAGTTCTTCTTTGAGTAAATATCAAGGACCCTGATTGCTGGGTCGTATGGTTAAGAGTATGTTTAGTTTCGTAGGAAACTGCCAAACTGTCTGCCAAGGTGGCTGTACTATTTTCTAGTCCACCAGAAATGTGTGAGAGTTCCACATGCTAGTCAGTGTTTGATGTTGTTACCATTATGGCTTTTGGCCCTTTTGATAGGTGTGTAGTGGTGTCCCCTTGCTTTAATTTGCTTATCCCTATCATGCGGAGCATCTTTTATTATGCTTATTTTCCATTTGTATGATGTGAGATGTCTTTTTTGTGAGATGTCTGTTAAGGTCTTTGGCCCCTTTTTTAATCCTGCTATTTTCTTAGTGTTGAGTTTTAAGAGTTCTTTGTATATTTTGGATTATGGTCCTTTATTAGATGGGCCTTTTCCAAATATTTTCTCCTGGTCTGTGGCTTTTCATTCTTTTGACATTGTCCATTGCATAGTAGGAGTCTTAAATTTTAATGAAATTCAGCGTATCAATTCTTTCTTTCATGGATTGTGTCTTTGGTGGTGTGTCTAAAAAGGCATCATCATACCCAAGGATATCCAAGTTTTTCTGCTGTGTTGTATTCTAGGAATTTTATACTTTTGCATCCTATGTTTAACACTGTGATCCATTTTGAGTTATTTTTGTGGAGGGTATAAGGTCTGTGTCTAGATTCCTTATTTTGCACATGGACATCCAGCTGTTCCAGCACCATTTGTTGAGGAGACAGCCTCTGCTCCTTTGTCAAAGACCATTTGACCATATTTATGGGGGGCTATTTCTGGGCTCTCTGTTCTGTTCCATTGATCTATTTGTTTATTTTTTTTGCCAGTACCACACTGTGTTGGCTACTGTAGCCGTATGGGAAGTGTTGAAGTCTGGTGGCGTCAGTTCTCCGATTTTGTTCTGCTTCGATCTGTGTTGGCTCTCCTGGGTCTTCTCCTGCTCCACATAAACTTTAGAATCATTTTGTTGACATCTATAACTTGCTGGGATTTTTATTAGGATTGTGTTGAATCTATGGATCAAGGTGGGAAGAACTGATATCTTGACGATATTGTCTTCCTATCCATGAACATGCAATATCTCTCCATTTATTTAGTTCTTTGACTTCACTTATTAGAATTTTGTGAGTTTTCTCATGTAGATGTTGTACACATTTTGTTAGATTAATGCCTAAGTATTTAATCTTTTTTTGGTGTTAATATAAATGTTGCTTTTATTTTCAAAGTCCACTTGTTCATTATTGGTATACAGTGACCATAATATTTTTAATTGAGAAAACACTCTCTCTACATGTGCTGAGGTACCTGGTAACATCAGAGCAAATTCTGCTATCTGGAGGATATTTTCAGTTCCAATTTTTTTCCATAGTGAACTGTTTAAATGTTCCAGCCCAGCTACTTTATAGGGTCTGTCTTTTTGCCTGTGAGTACTGTGCCTCTCTTCAATTAAAACACAGAACTTGGTCAAGCAAATTTTCTTTGTTCATGGTTCTTTTGAGTGTTGCAATATCATAAGGCATCTACATTTCAGTTCAGTATAGAATATGCCTGTCCGATTAAAAATAAGAACTTAATGAAGAGAAGTCTCTTCCTACATGTTGAGATTCCCAAAGCATGATTACAGAATTTCAAAGTTAAATCTTATGCAAATTAAATCCATCCCAACTTAATATTTCGTAAACCAAAAAAACCTCGGGCAAATGCCAAGTCAGGGTGCTTGGGCAGCAGTGTGACCCCGGGCGGCCCTGACGAGAGCTCCCCCTCTGTAAAAGGCTGTTCACGATGTGCTCCAGCCTTGTCTCTGGTGCCTCCTCACCTGGGGTCGTGTCCCACCCAGCTCTTTGCGTAGACCACCTTTGTATTTGCTGCTACTCTGCCTAGAAACGCTTTCCCTCCTTTCTCACCTGGCTCCCCTGCTCCCCTGGGCTCTGGCATTTTCTCTCTCGGTGCCTTCCCTTGATTCCCCCCGAGGTCCTCCCCTCCCGGCCTCTATTGCAGCCCTGCCATGGTGAGTATATGTATTCAGTTGTTCCTCGTCATCTTTTCGAGACACTTTGTTCAGTGTCCTATTATTTAAGAGTCCTGTTTTTTTGCTTCTTATGGTAATAATTATTGATTAAACTGAGTTGCTAGGTGATAAGTGATTTTGATGAGTTGCTTATCTGCCCCTGAAAACATATTTGTATTTCACTGAGGCCCGTCTTCAAAGTGGGGGTGCACACACTGGGAACTGCACAAGACCATGTGTAAGGGTGTAGGTAAAAAATGTACTTTTGTTCTATTATTTTATTGAGCAAAACCAAAAAATTAAAGTTGTCTGATATTTACTATTTTGGTTGAGAAAGTGCATATATACAATTTATAAATCTAACTTCACACTGGTGATGTGTACTCAGTATTTTTGTTGGCTGACTGCTCCACCACGAAAAATTGAAGGCCGCTTCTGTAGAGGCCTGTTGACGTCCTGGTGGGTGACTCTTCAAGTCATTTGGCACCGTAATGGCTTCCATTTATCAAGCGTCTCCTGTGTGCCCGGCACCGTTCTATATGCTCTCCACCCTTATAAATCAGCTTACTTATCCCTCACGACTACCTTGTTAGATTGGTACCATTACTAGCATCCTGATATTATGGATGAAAATATTGAGCCTGGAGAATCATGTAGCTTTTTCAAGGATGGGGCTCGTATGTGGCTGATTCAGGACAGAACTGATGTGGTCTGGTTGCAGAGGCCACGTGCTTAACCCCGGCCCTGCACTGCGCCCCGCGGTGGTTTCTGTCTGTTCCCGCAGGATAGACGCACGTGGCCTCCAGAAGGGGAGGGGCCCTGTTGGTCTTGTTCTTGATGGTCCCTTTAATAACTATTTCTTAAATGAATGAAAGGACTGTGAGGGCCTGTCACCACCTCTGAATTCATATCACCTGAATGGGAACTTTGAATAAGTACTCTTGTATTTTTTTAACTTTTTATTAAGGTATTATATGAAGGTTTCACATGAAAAAACAATGTGCTTACTACCTTTACCCATATTATCAAGTCCCCCCCACACCCCAATGCAGTCACTGTCCATCAGTGCAGCAAGATGCCGCAGATCCACTATGTGCCTTGTCTGTGCTGCACTGCTCTCCCCGTGACCCCCGCACCATGTGTGCTAAACATAACACCCCTCAGTCCCCTTCTCCCTTCCTCCCCCTTGGTAACCACGAGTCCCTTCTTGGAGAGTACTCTTGTATTTTTAATTTGAACGATTTTTTTCCCTGAAATAATCAGATCTGATGAGAAATGGGCATGAGTTAAGCCAGCAGTCCTATGTTTAGAAACTTTACAGAAAAAAAGCCCTGCATCACTCCAGTACGGATGAGTCAGTTATGAGTCCCCGCTCACCCCTGACGTGACTAATGCCTTCGTTTCCTTCCTTTTTCATGAGCGGATGAGGACAGAAGAAGTAAACCTCAGGTCCCTTCTGAGCACTGTGTGACGTGTCCCTCCAGTGTGTGTAACCTTTCAAAAGCAGAAGTGGCAGCAGAAATGACAACAGAAATGATAATGAGAAGGAGAATCAGAGCTGAACTGCTTTTTGGCGGCAGGGGGAGGTCCGCCCACCCAAGTCTTTTAAGTCAGGCTCGGCTTCCTTGGCGACCTGGCACCGGGTGGTGATCTCTCAGTGTGCTGGGCTTCGGCGAAATTGTTTCGGTTTAACCAAATAAGTTTGTGATTCTGTAAGTTTATGATCCCTTTACATCTGCAAGAGTATCTGGAGAGTCTTAGGCGTTTTGTGTTACAGCATCATTTTCCAAATATGACTCTTTTCTTCCCTGTTTTGCTTTTAGGCTCTTTCAAGAGACTTATGCTTCCATCAGTAAGTATCAATTTTAAACATTTTGGTTTCAGAAATGCACATTGCATCAGGGTGATGAATACATTAATTTTTATTGGTTTTTATATCAATTTGCTTTCCTTGTGAGCTTTGGCTTGATTCAGTTCTACCTTTAGCTTATTTAAGAATAATATTACTTCAAGGAGATTAGTTTTCAGCCTCCTCGAACTCGGAGCAGAGATTTTCCTCCTGTAAAACAATTTCACTGAGGGAAACTGGCCTGGACTCGTAGCAGAGAATCCTGGACTTGAGGGTGTAAGTAACACTCCGCCCCTCAGTTGCCCTCCGTGGGGAGGTGCAGCACCCCAATGAGCCACCCTGGGGCTGAGGCAAAAGGAAACATCAGTGATAGGCTCCTGTCTGTATAAAATTGTGATATTTTGGAGGGCTCATATTTAACTTTTTGCATTATTTCTATTTTAAAATATTTTAAACATTGAAAAACTATCTTGATTGCTGAGTTTTTTGGCACCCCCTTAAACGTGGCACCTGAGGCGAGCACCTCACTCACCTCACGCCTGTCCTGGTGCTGGGAAACCAGTGAAGATACTGTGTCTGTTTCCTAGGAGATACCCTGGAGGCGAAATGAGGTGTGGAAGGGCTTAAGATTTGCTGTAAAGGCAGAAAGGGGTTATTCCTGTGTTGAGTCCTAAGATCTGACAATTCAGGTAGTTTGTGAGCTAATCCTGCTTCCCAGAGCTGTGACTTGGAAGTTCAGACTGTGATTCCTGTTTGTTTTTGGAGCTCCACATCTTTAATGTTCAATAGAGCAGGAAGCCACGTTGAACAAGAGATGCAGTGTGACACACTTTTCTGAGTGGGACATTTTTGACCCTGACACTTTACCTGCTGATGTGGGACCAGTGTTTTCCCCATCATCTCCCGAGGGTTACTTGTCAAGCCCATCTAGAAACATTCATTCTGGGGGCTTCCTAGAAAATGTAGTGCTCACAAACACTACTTTATAAAAATTACTTATATTCTGTGGCTGTTGTTTCTTAACTATTATGTTTGTGTTTTCCCTACTAAGAAATATACTGCTTTTCTATTGTTAAATAGAAAGTGGGAAAAAGAGGCATAGCAGGCAGAAATTGGGGGGAACCCTAATTTTAGTGACAATAAAACATTAGATTACATTAATGTAACCTAAAACATTGGTGCTGGCCACCGGCACCTGTGTGTGTAACACTGGTGAAAGAATATTCCAGTGAGAAGATTAAACTGGATCCTGTGTAATATTAATTGTTCTGTAGCAGAAGGTGGTGAGATTTACATTCAGGAATCGCAGCTTAGAGCACAGTAACTGTCTGGTTTCCTCCAAGAAGCCGGCGGTTGCACAGACTGAAGTGTGGAAGGCTTGAAAGGAGAAGGCATGTAGGCAGGGTGGGGCCTTGGGCTTATTCCCAGGACACTAGTAGAAACTGGACTTGGCTAAACTAGCATTAGCTGGAAATTTGGCTACTCTTATTCTTTTAAGTTTTAATTATGTGAAATAGTAACTCCAACACTGTATATTTATTTTAATATTATGCCTCTTTTATTGTATATAGATAAAGTAATTATTGAATGCTCTACTGAGATTATATTTAAAAGTATATCCCTTTTTAGCAAAACAAAATTTTAAAGGCTTAGTCATAAGTGTCTGGGAAAATTTGATAATGCTTAGCAAAAATAGAAGGTTCTGCATATTTATGAGTTTTCAGTTCAAATAGACCCAATGTTTAAAGTACACTTGCATTCTGATGTATGTAAATGTAATATTTCAAATTATTTTCTAAAGTCCTCATGAATTTTTGTTGTAAGACATGAATATTTTGACTACATTGAAACAAATATGTTTTTATTAAGTGTTGAGCTCATTGATATACTACAATCAACCTTCATAAGAAGTAAATAAAAAGCAATTGATGCTTAATATAAAGATTATTTTTGCACAAAATAGTCTATGGAAAATTTCTTTTATCCTCTGTAAATAAATCTAAGTTAAAACAAGGGAGCGGTTCTTAAAGTGAGAATTGTTTTAAAAATTTATTTTAGGTGTAGTTGACATTTTTAATAGGAACTATCATCTTAAATTTCTCAATCATTTGAATTTAAAAATTAACTTTTATTTTTAAAATTGCTTTTAGTAACTGGCTATATTAATGAGGTAAAGTAGGGTAAATATTAGTGTGTTGTCTCAGTTTCCTTAAGATAACTGATCTTTCAGAGAACATCAAATGGTTTTAGACAGCCCACATCAGAATAAACAATCCATTCATTATCCACCAGGGGCCTTTCTGAGCATGCCTTCCTTATGTACCCTGGGCAGAGAGCTATCGTTTACTCAGAGAGTTTGCATTTAGGTATATGCAAACTAGAAATCTACTGCTACTTATATTCAGAATAACTGAAAATCAGCCGCGCCCAACTCTGAGGCTGATGGGTATTTTGTTGATCAAAGCCCCTCGATGTTGTGCATCCCAGACTCGCCCTGCAGCCAGTGTCCAGCTGTGGGGGATGCATCTTTCTCCGGCCCTGTGCCGAGTTCCACATTAGGAAGTATTCCCCCACTCTGGGAGCCAATACTTGGTTCTTGTATAAGAGATATGGAAGTGTCCTATGAGGGAACATTTTGTTCCCAATTCTGGGAACGCTTTTCAGTAATTGCAGCCCTAGGAAGGCAGAAGGCCACGGATCCATTGAGTTTCAGGAGCTTTTAGTACCTTCTGGCATTCTTTGCATTGTGGGAAGCAGGTTGTAACCCACCCTAGGTCTGGTAGAGACGGGAAGTTTCGTCAAGGTTGCTTGAAATCCACAAACATTTCTGCAGTCTTCTCACTATGCCCCTCTGCCAAGGCCTGTCCTGAGAGGTCCGGATCTGCAGCACCCTGAGTCCACAGCGATACCCCCAGGGTGTATGTGATGCCCCACAGTTCATGGAGACACCCCAGGTTTACTGATACACCAAGTTCATGCCGTCATCTCTGGCTTCCCAGTACTGGGACCAGCACTGAGGCTTTAACTGATCCCCAATAACATACATTTTACATATGGGGAGATGGGGTTTCTAACGGAAGAGTTGAAGAAACAAATTTGTTCAGGTAGCTGAAAGGCGCGGAAGGATGGGCAGTGCCATCTCCTGAAGCCGCGCCGGCTCCCTGCAGGAGGCCGGAGTAGGGGACGGGGTAAGGGTCTGCACGCCCTTGTGTTAATCCGACTCTCTCACTTCTTGGCTTCTTGTGGTCATTGGCCTCTGGCATTTCAGGCCTCGGCACCATCAGTTTGATTTAAATCTTCAGTCTGCTCTCTGTTGTGGATCTTCTGTGTCACTAAAAATGATCAAACTATGTCCAAATCACAAAGAGCAATCCCATCACTTGTATTTTTTTCATCATTTTTTAAAACTATTGTTGATGTACAATTTCATATTGTTTTCAATACAACACAGCAGTTCAGCAGTTATGCACATTATTAAATCCTCACCCCCCACAAGTATGGTTTCTATCAATCAACATAGGAATGTTGGTCCTTTCCCTATCTCTGACCCGCAGATAAGGGAAGAGACGTGATGAATCATCGAAGACCTGAAAGGACCAGCCAGGGGACTCAAGGCGTGACAGCGCAAGAGTCGTGCTGAGAGGGCACCTCTCACATTTATTGATTAAATGGTTGTTAACAACAATAAAATTCTGTATAGGGGACTCCATGCACAATCATTAATCAAGTCCAACTCTTATCAGTCTCCAATCTTCTGAAGCATAACAAACAAGTTCTCACATGGTGAATAAAGTTCTTACATAGGGAGCAATGCAAGAGCGCTCGTATCGCAGAAACTTTCTGTTGTGACTACGAATCATGAACTATAAACAATCAAGTCAAATATGATTATTCATATGATTTTTATACTTTATGTATGAATTCCCACATAGGAAGATGTTACAGAATCACTGACTGTATTCTCCATGCTGTGCTACTGTCCCCGTGACCAGCTTATATTGTGATTGCTAATGACTGTGTCCCTTTATAGTGCAAAGAGGGTGCATTGTAGAAGAGAGGCTGAGAGAGGAGGGCAAGGGAACAGGCCTCGTGCACGTGTGCTCAGATAGGGCGCGACGCGGAGGACAGCGTGGAGGACTGTTAGATACAGACCCCCAGTGACCGCTAGTGAGGCAGTCTGCCCTTGGGGTGCGGAAAGGACAGGGTGACCGCAGCTGAGAGTTTTGGGGTATGTGTCCCCATTTCGGGAGCACAAACTACAGGAGCTGAAGAGGGAAACACATTGTTTAGCTTTGGTGCTTACTGCAGTTGCTTTTGATAGTACTGTGTATTACCATTTTCTGTTCTCACATATAGTCAAAAACATTTGAGGTAAAATAATGAGACCTCGATACGTCCACTCTCTGTTTGCAGCTGCCTCTGAACAGCGCAGATGAAATTTATGAGCTGCGTGTAACTGGACGTGCCCAGGACGAGATTTTGTTCTCCAATAGCACACGCCTGGTGTTTGAGACCAAGAGAGTGACTGTCTTCATTCAGACAGACAAGACCCTCTACAAGCCGAAGCAGGAAGTGAAGTTCCGTGTTCTTACACTCTTCTCAGATTTTAAGCCTTACAAAACTTCTTTAAACATTCTAATGAAGGTAAGTGCTGGACAGAAATGAAGGAATTCAAGCCATCTTGCTGAAGCTTTTGAAAGTTCTGCTCACCTAATCTTTGAATTCACCAAAGATAAGCTGCCCTCCTGAGGTGAGAATTCTTTCTCTAGGGAGACTGTAGACTATGGGTCAAGAGCACAGGCTTCAGGTCAGCCTGCTCAGATTCCGGTCTCGACCCCTTCAGTGATTAATTCATTTGTCAAACATTTGAAATTCTGTGTTCTGGGTACTGGGATAGGACAGTGAACAGAACAGATCAAGTCCCTGCTCCCATCGAGCTGATATTTCAGTGGGTAGTGGGGAGACAGACAATAAA